TTTTTTTTATTTCTTTTGGCCGTAGTCTAGTTTAACTGAAGCGACGACAGATTTGCTGGCCGAGTCGTTTGGTCGTTGTGGTCTCGTGGTTTTCGCTGTTTTACTTTTGCTACAGTCTTGCCTCGCTTTGTGGATTATGGCATTGAGGTGTCTGATTACCAGAAAAAAAGCTCTTAAGTAAGACTCATTGTAGAACGCAGCAGCAGCAARCGCAACGAAATATATTTGTAGATCTAATCTAAATATTTTTAATTTAAGTTTTCTGATGTTTTTTTTTTTGGAGAAAATGGTAATCATCCATAAATTAAAAACAACAATTTTATGCCACATAAAATTAATAACAAAACAGAAACAATCAAAGCCAAAACTTGTTTAGAACTGACGCCGACAAATTTATTCATGAATTCATTTAGTTGGAATTGTTCGTTTTTGTCTAAAACAAACTTTTACTTTTCATCATTGTTTGCCATATCTACTTATTTCTTTATTTGTTTTCTTCTTCTTCTTCGTCTTTTATTTTGTGAAAGAAATCGTTCGTATTGCAATTAATCTTCAGTCRAGTCGAGTCGAGTCGGCCAACCAATTAGGTAACCAAACCATATACCCTGGCCCTCTCGCGACTCGAGGTTTTGGCTTCGGTTAGTGTGTGTGTGTGGGCAGAGAAAGTTTTCTTTATTCATCTGGTTCTATTCCAATGGGTCAACAGCCACTTGGCCACTCGCGATTTGCATATCATATGGCCACAGCTGCACTCAGTTGCATTCACAGTTGCACTCTTGAGTGGTCTTCAGTCAGGTCTAGAAATCGGGTCAACATGGTTTTTTAGGCATTGCTTTTAATAAGTTGAAGTAGACCTATTAATTTAATTTATATACAAAATATGTCAACAGAGTTCCTCCTTGCTTTAGCTATAAAACTTAAGGTTGCATTTCAGCAATATTTCTAAGTTGAGTTAACTTTAAATAGAGCAATGGGAAATGGACTCTGAAGGAACCCGAAAAGTTGAATGGAATTTCGGTTTTCACTAGAAGATTAAAATATATTTGAATTGTAATGTTAGAGTTACTCGAATTTGACTTATCAGTCAGTCAGTTAATCAGTAAATCCATCCATCAGTCAGTACTTCCTTCATTTCCTCCCTCAACGCAAATGCTGTCATATGATATCTATAATAGACGATTACTGTCATTAGGAGAAATGTAAGACTCTAAATACTGAATGTTAATTTGTGCCTACTAGATCTTTTTTTTCTCTTCTTCTTCATCTTCTCTTTTTTTGCATAATGTGCCAAAGGATTAGGCTGTGACCTAACACGAGCAGCTATTGACATTTTTTGCCAGGACATTTTTATGCAAATCAGTTAGTGACACGCACACCAAATAATGGGGCTGCCTTCCAATATAGAGCTCGTGATATGCGATATGGATGTGGATGAAAATGTGAATATGCAAATGTGAATGTGAATGTTTGCCCTCGGAACATTCGGCATCGGATTGCGACTAGCCCAAGCAAGAATTTGTTTGACTGCGGGCTTGGCCTGATGGTTTAGGGCAGGATATGACTGCACAGAGAGACATATCCTCTTACGTAATTACATTCCAAGCTAACGTAACTGAAGATATTGAAATGGTTAATGTGTTTGAGTTGGAGATATATCCATATCTATTTACGAATATAATATATTCTATTCAGTTGAGTTTCAATATTAAATTTATTAAAGACTTCTCACTAAAGTTTCTTGCAAGTAGCTCAAGTATTTATAAGTTAGCTTGCCCAGAATTTTATACTAACTGTTTGTTTATCCATTTTTATATTTCAGCACCGTATCGGCTTGAATTAAAAATGTAACTGCATATTCGAGGCGTTGCTACTGAATCGAGAGCTCTTCAAGTCAACCTCATTTTGTGAAGCGAGAGATAAGGAGTTTATATCAGGTGAGCTTGCGGTTGTTTAATAAATAAATATATTTGAGTCAATTTACCTATGAATATATCAAAATATTTATTATGAATATTTTTAGCTTGTTGATCGTTTTAAATAAGCTTATCTTACGAGCTGTCTAAAAAAATTATTAATTAATATATATGTTTAATTTATTAACATTAGTTTTGAATTTATTATATATAGCTTTAAAAAGAAACATTTTTCTTACGAGTTATGTAAATAAATTATAA